CAAACGTGCCGATGGCAGAGTCAAAACCGTATACCCCTTTTCCCCCCGAGCACCTACCCCCTAAATTATGCTCTGTAGAAAGACTACTCCCTCTTATCGACTAAGAGCATACGAAAGCATTCCCTCTTTACACCAGAACAGTCCATTCACATTCACATAAGACTTAAAGGGCCCTTTTTAAAGCTTCCAACCCTTTTCCTCTCACCCTTTTCCCGGGCCTCTTGCCCCCGGGGCAACATGTTGTTTGTCACCACCCCCCCCCCTCTTTGTGCCCCTTTCCTGGCTGTCACGAGAATATACATCCTTCCTCCCCGACCTTGCGCGGGCGTCAGGGCTATCGAGTTTACGCGCCCCCCTTTCCTCGAACACCTCTACCCCCCATACTGTCTACCCAAGATTCCTCACAGTGAACTCAACCCCTACTGTGACCTGTCCGCACCCAGTTGGTGGACTCCTCTCTGTGCCCATTGTCCTCCCCCTTCCCGTGCCTGTCCCGGGCCCCACTCTCCTGTCAACTCACACCATTTCACGGACCAAGCCCTTATCCTCGCCCGTAGAAGGGAAAATTTTCATTTCCGTCGAGCTCCCCTCCACTCTTGCACCTCCCCCTTTAATGGCATTCCCCCCCGTCACCGGGAAAGTGGGCCCTTTTCGGCTCCACACAACTCGGCCCCCCTCAACAGGGACCACAAAAAACTCTTCACAATTTCACTCCACAGCGGCCATCTCCTCGGTTTCCTTTTGGGAAGCTCCCTACGACATCCACACCTGTAACTGGGGCACCACCCGTTTGCGCCGGGGGCCCTCCCCTGCCTCCCCCACGTCGCCCCCATATGTCATCTTCCACACAACCTGCAGTCCCCGCGCCCACATACGCCACTAAATTTGGGTCCTAAACTCCGGCATCACGACATATACGGGGGTGGGTGCCCAGTTATTTTGAGGGAGATGTACCCCGGGCGTCCCAGTACGCACCTGCCCCCCACTTTCCTTGGGGTTTCCGATGCACGTACCTAAGCTGCAAAAACCTTTCCCTAAGTCCCCCTCGTCAGCCCCCGAAAGGGGAAATTGCGCAAATTCACCCACGTATATGGGGAGAAAAGCTATGAGTCGCACTTTGACGCTGGGTTACATCAAAACTCAACTCAAATTTGTCACTAAGACTTACACACCGTCGAATTCAAATTGACGAATAGACGATAGGCCCCCTTCAGGGGACACCATAAACCCCATCATCCTCACTCCGTACGTTTCCCTGATGATTGCCGGAATAACACCTGCGCCGTAGGGGGGGAAATCGCCCACAAGCGCTCCACGCCGACAGTGTTCACCCCGTCGGATACTCCGCCATATTTTTGCTAGAGAGCTCTCCCGACAAAACAGCAGAGGGGGGCTATGCACAAAACCCCACTCCACCGCGTCAGGACTAATGAAAAAGTCAATTGGAAGGTTTGTGCAGTGTGAGTTTTCAGAGCATGACGATCGTTTTGGAAGGGGGCCATAAAGGAGTGCAGACATGGGAGCTTTACCGGGCGCAATTAGGAAAGGCACCGGAATTTATGGGGTTCCCAGTGACTTTTTTCTCCAAAATTGGAGCGTTTTTTAAAAGAATTTTTGTAAGATTATCAAAATTTATTTAAACGGGTGGGTTTTAGGGGCAAGCAGCGGATGGGTGTGGTCGTTTTATGCCTAAAAGGGGACCATTAACAGTTAAAGACATGTGCTTTTCGTTTTTGGGTGTGGTGTTAAAAATTTTTTGCAAAAATTTTTAGTAACAAAAAAAAAAAGGGTCCTGGGTAAAGTAAATCAAAGGGGACAATATGGGGGTGCCGGGAAGGTCAAAATGTATGACGGGCAGGGTTTGATTAAAGTTTTTTTGAAGGAGTAAAATTGGGAGGGGGGGGGGGGTGTTGGCTATAGTTTGGGGGAGGCGGCATTGATAGTGTAAAAAGGGGAGGTTAGGAAGATTATGAGTGGCAGGGGTTTGGAGGGGAAATTTATCAGGGGCCAAATTAATTATCAAGATGCATCCTGCAGGTGAGGTAAAGGGAAAAGGTTAGGGAACAAATTCAGTGGCAGGGGTCCGTCAAGGTTTCCCTTTCAAAAATTTTTTTTGCGTGTTTCAGGATCCCTTTTATAGAGGTTGGGTCTTATGGCACAAATGGGGTTGGTGAAAAAAGGGGGGGGCTGGCATTGTTGGATTTTTGTGCAAAACGTTTTTAGTAAGGGGTAAAGGGATTTGCCCGGGTGGAAAAGTTAGAAAAAATGTTTTTGAAAAGGCTTTGGCTGTAAATTTAATAAGGAAAAAACGAAGATTGGATCTTGGAATGGGTTTTGTGAGGAAGTAAAGTAGTTAAAAGGGGGAAAAAAGGGGGACCAATTATGATAGTGGGATCGTTTATGTAAGTGTTTCAAGTTAGCACAACAAATAAATTTCAGTGGTTTTGTAGTGGTGTACTAAGCGCCTCAGGGGGTTACGAGCTGCCCAACTTAACTTTGCATCAAAGAGTAATTCAACGAATGTCCTTTATATAGTAAACTTTGGCAGAGCAGCAATATTCCGATCTTCGTAGTGAGAACAAAGGTTACAAAAGCGCGTTTTAGTTTCATTTGGGTACGGAACAAATGGTTGGGTTAGAGGGGTTGTCCACTCCCGGTTGGCCGTGGAGGGGCTGGGCTTTACTTTTTGAAAAGGGGATTATGAGGTGTATTTGAAACGTGTTATAAGCGGGAGGGGGGGGGCGAGGGGAAAGGGGGACTTATAAATCTCAGGATATGCAACGGTGGTGGGTGGGGAGGGGTTCATAAAAGGTGAGGCAAGTTACGGGGATCATAAACAGAGCGTCCTTCACTATTAAAATTTGGGAAAAACCCTTTATGGGGTGGGGGTAAGGCAGGGTAGCAGTGGGAGAAGGTGTTTATCCCATGTTATTGGCGTAATATCTGGGGCGTTTGAAAAAATTACGTTTAAAACCTAAAATACGAGAAGTAATGTATAATTTTTTCTTGGGGTCTTACCGTCTGGAAAGGTTTTTTTTCCTAAGAGATCGGGAGGATGGGATATGCAAGGCTTGTGGGGATGGAACTGTTTCCAATTTGTGTTTTTTGCGAAAGTATTGAATAAAAAGGGTTTGGGTTTGGGGGAAAGGGAAAAGGTTAGTGGGAGGGGGGGGGGTTTCAGGTTTTGAGGGGTTTTTTAGCTTAGCTAGTGGGGTAATCAAAAGGGAGAGAATCGGTGGGGATAAATTACAGATTATATTTTTTAAAGTTTGGGTAGAGAGGAGCAAGGGGGTGAAAAAAAATTAAGCATTAATAGCAACTTTTTTTTAAAGGGCAAAGTGTAGAAATAGGAGGTTTTATGGGGGGAGAGGGGGAGGGATTTAAGTAGGGGTTTTAGGAATTTCACTTTTTTGGGGTTTAGGGGAGTTGAAAAGGGAGGTAAGGGGGAAGAAAGGGGTGGTTTTTCCCAGAAAGGGCGGGGGCTGATGAGTTTGGAATGTTTTAAAAAGGATGTCTGGGGTGCAATTTTAAATTACTTTTTTCCGAAGGGGGGTCAAATACAAAACATTATATTTGGAATTTTTCGATTATAAAGTAAATGTATTGTGGGTTTTATATTTGCATGTGTTTATGTGTGGTGTATTTTTGTATGTATGTGATGTGTGATGTATGTATGTTATTTGTAGTGTAGTATGTGTATATTTTAAATTTTTTAAAAATTTATATATTATATTATTATTGTATTTTTTATGTAGTTTACTTTCTGTATATACCTTAATGGTTTTTCTCTGAACATTTTCAATGTTATACAATACTATTTTCTTGCGCTTTTATGATTTTGATACAATGTGTAAATGTCAAAAAAAGGGTTTTTATGTTCCGTTAATTTTTCCAAATTTTATTTTTTTAAGCACAATTGATTTGGGGCCAAAAAGTATGTAGTTTAAGAGTTTTTACGAACCCTTTAATTGTAAAAAATTGGATGAAATTTTTCAGGTTTATGACGTAAATTATAACTGACGTTGTAAATGTTGTGTTCATTTTACAAATACTTTTATACTTTTTATTTTTTGTCAGATGTAAATTTTAAGTCTATTTTAAAGGTGAAGGTTTGGGGGTTTTCCCTTTTTTTTTTTTTTTTTTTTTTTTTTTTTTTTTTTTTTTTTTTTTTTTTTTTTTTTTCTTTATGGTAATACAAGGTTGTATCATGTACACCAACAAATATGGTTAGGGGTATGTGGTAAAATTTTCGTGTTGATTAGACATTTATAATACAGATGAAATACTAGGCTTAGGTTAGGGTAAATTTATGATAATTGTGGAATGTTCTTTGATTCAAACTGCTCTTTATTATACTGTATTTTATTATTCTAGTGTGAATTAAGAGCAAGGATGATTAATTTGAGGAAGAGTTAATATAGGTTTGCATGTTTTTGCGAAAAGTTAACTTATCCACATGTAGCTAGTATAGGACAATTTTAAGCTTCGGTATCTGATTTTATATGTAGGTATAGTGGTCATATTTGTTATATTGTAATGTTATTCGTTAATGTTTCAATATCTAATGTAACGTTTTTTCAGTTATTTGTTCATATATTGTCATCTTTAGGGTTTTTCCTTTTGTCTATTGTCTATTGTTGGTTTTAAATAAAATATAAAAAAAAAATATTATTATATATATATATTTATATATATATATATATATATATAATATATATATATATATATATATATATATATATTTGAGATATACACGTCCTGGGAATATACACTGAACTACACCTCAGTATATACACAGCTAAAACCTACACACATCAGGAATAGTTTAAGAAATTGGTTGTCAGGCGCACGATAATATTAATAAAAGATTCACGAGAAAAAAAATGATAAATTCTTTGAGCTGTGGATTTACAAAAATAAATAAACTTGTAGAAGAGTGAAATATTTCTTGATATGATATTACGTGATGCAACTGATAACACAAAGTAGCAGTCGGTACAACTTATTTTCCCGGTTCAACGCATGTCAGTTTACGCTGGCGAGTGGCGGAGGTCGGAGTGTTAGTATTGATCTCCTCACCTCCTTGACTCGTTTCCAGGGAAAGACTGAAGTCTAAACACCACCACAATGGCGGGAGCTATCATTGAAAACCTGAGCGGACGGAAATTAGGAGTCCTGATAGTTTTCCTCATGATATGCCAAGTGGTATGCTTCCTGGTCGGCGCATTGATCGGTAAGTGTGAGCTTGGGGCCCCACCGACAAAGAGACCGCTGACAGGAACCAACATTGTGCCCCGTGGCGGCCAATTTTGGGAATGTCATGCTCTTGTAATTGGTGAGATTATGCAGAATCCAACACTCGTCTTACGACTGTCATTAAATGTGAGCGTAAGTTGTAGATGATGTGTCGAGTGAATTGAACCTTGTAAGGAGTTCCTGGTTTATCTTATGGCATCAGTGATGAAGCATGAGCGGGGATGCTGCAAGCATCTGTATTTACGTGTTAAACGCCTTAACTAACTAGTATATATAGATAACATTTACGGTACAATTTCTAGTAAGCATTTTAATTTACAGTATACATGACTGCAATTTTTTTTTATGTAAATGGTGCGTGTTTCCCTTGGCAGTAACGGATGTGTTTAAATCTCTCAAATTTGGATACTAAAGAGCATTATTTTTTTGGTTGTGTCCACGTCGCTGAACTGTGGCGCTATCATTAAGCTAAAATGTCTAGCGTGTATTGGTTATGGCTGTCACAAAGCCACGGTCATGTCCGTATCACAGAGCTACAGCCATGTCTACCACAAAGCTACAGCTATGTCTGTACCACAAAGCTACAGCCATGTCTACCACAAAGCTACAGCCATGTCTACCACAAAGCTACAGCCATGTCTGTACCTTAAAGCTACACCCATGTCTGTACCACAAAGCTAAAACCATGTCTGTATCACAAAGCTACAGCCATGTCTTTACCACAAAGCTACAGCCATGTCTGTGCCACAAAGCTACAGCCATGTCTGTGCCACAAAGCTAAAGCCATGTCTACCACAAGGCTACAGCCATGTCTGTGCCACAAAGCTACAGCCATGTCTGCATCACAAAGCTACAGCCATGTCTGTGCCACAAAGCTAAAGCCATGTCTGTACCACAAGGCTACAGCCATGTCTGTACCACAAAGCTACAGCCATGCCTGTACCACAAAGCTACAGCCATGTCTGTGCCACAAAGCTACAGCTATGTCTGTACCACAAAGCTAAAGCCATGTCTGTACCACAAAGCTACAGCCATGTCCCCTCAAGGAAGGTTCCTTGATGTTGGTGAGGGGCTCTTGATTTAGGGAATTAGATCTGCTCCAGTTCCCCGAATTAAGCCTGAATGCCTTCCACATCCCCCCCCCCAGGCGCTGTATAATCCTCCGGATTTAGTGCTTCCCCCTTGATTATAATAATACAGCCATGTCTGTACCACAAAGCTACAGCTATGTACCACAAAGCTACAGCCATGTCTACCACAAAGCTACAGCCATGTCTGTACCACAAAGCTACAGCCATGTCTGTACCACAAAGCTACAGCCATGTCTACCACAGAGCTACAGCCATGTCCGTATCACAAAGCCACGGCCATGCCCATATCGCAAAGTTGTGGTAATGTCCGTGACAGTCATGACCATATCCGTGTCAGCTATGACTATGTCTGTGTCACGGCCATGATTGTCCGTACCACAAAGCCATCACGAAGCCCGTGTTAAAAAGCTATGTCCATGTCACATTCCCATCCTTGTCACGACTATATAACATTGCCATGTCCTTGTGACGATCGTGTCGCATTGCCATATCCTTGTCACATTGTCAAGACTGTCACGTTGTCATATCTTTGTCACAGTCATAACCGTGTCACAGTGCCATGTTCGATTCACAGAATCATGATTGTAATTAATGACCCTGTCCCTGTCGCAAAGCCATGTTCATGCCCGTATTTAAGAGCCAGGGCCATATCATTTTCCTAGACCACCGGTTTACTGTGCCTCCGCCATACATTTGGCACCAGTAAACAGTTCTAGACGTCCTATATCAACGGTTATTTTCAGACGAATAAATTAAAACAAATACGAAGCATTTGGTATAGTTGATTATTCACTTTGTTCACCTTGGTATTGCCGCAGTATATTTTACATGCTAATTCTTGAATGATATTGAATGCTTTCTACAACGTTCCTAATTAGCGCAAAAGGCTTTCTTAACTAGATTTCACGCTTTAATCTCTGACCTGCCAGTGGACTCAGGACTGCTTTAAATTTATCAAGGCTAAGGGAATGAACATCGTCGACGTTGAGGAATTGATCACATCAAATTACCTCTTCACATCTTCCTCCGTTTATTCTCTGTACTGGATTAATAAAGCCACTGGTTAGTGAAATGTCTCCACAGTCAAAATACCAAAATGTTGCACATAGACTTGCATAACCTCTGGCTGTCTTCAAGGGAGGACTTGACAAGATCTTCAAATCAGTTCCTGGCCAGCGGGGCTGTGGTTTGTGGATGTGTGAGAATTTCCGTGTTAATTAAAGATTTTTTTTTTTTTTTTTTTTTTTTTTTTTTTTTTTTTTTTTTTTTTTTTTCTGGAAACCCTCCCTCCTTGGTGTGTTGATGACTGGTGCAGGAAGTTTACAAGAGTTGGCACCTGAGTGGCGTCGTTACCCTGCTTCAACAACACAAGTCCTTTAAAATCACGGAACGGGTGAGGTTGCAACCCATGGCAAGCGAATCCTCAGACTCATAGACCAGAGTGGTTAACGCACTGGCCTGTGATTTAGAATGATCTGTGCTCCAGTCCCAATTAAGCCTGATGCCTTTCCAACATCCCCCCCACCCGTCGCTGTATTCTCCGGTTTGCAATCCCTTGATGAATATATATAACGCAATGCTTGTTGAGCTCACTTGCCAGGTTTAACCACCTTCCGTGATTTGATTCAATCGTGTTATTACCAATACGTGAGGTCAGTCCTCACATGCACAGGCGTTTTCATACGGAGGGTCAGCCAAACATAGTTTCTGTAGAATAGATCCAATCAAGTTTCCTGTTTAAATTGGAAGACGGAATAAACACGGACCGTAGAGGTGTTGAGACTGCAACTCTTACTATCGTTTCCACTTTCGTATTATCCTAATAAAGAATAAAAGTCACAATACCGTGGCTGGAACAATACACACAACTCGCACTTGGGAGAGGCAAAGTAATGACGTTTCGGTATGACTTGGATCATTGAAAAGTTACACAAGCGAGAAGGGGAGAGTATTATTATTAATGGGGGAGCGCTAAATCCGTAGGATTATACAGCGCACGTAAGGGGGATGGAAGGTATTCAAGCTCAATTCAGGGAACCGGAGCACAGATCCAATTCCCTAGATCAAGAGCCCCTCATTAGCGTCAAGGAACCTCCCTTGAGGGGAGAAGACCAGAATATATACAAGAGAGAGCCGGGGAAAATGGGAGAGGTAATGGTAGTGAAGTAAAGGTAGTAGTAGTATTGAAAGTAGTAGTAGTAATAGAAGTGGTAATAGTGGTGGCGGTAGCAGTAATATAAATAATAATAGTGGTGGTGGTAATAGTAAAAGAAGTAATAATAGTGGTAATAGTGCAACAGGTAGAGACAGAAATAAGGTAGCAGTAGTATAAGTTCTGTCAAGCACCTTAACTACTGGGAACGCTTGGAAGCACTTGACTTGTACTCGTTGGAACGCAGGAGGGAGAGATATATCATAATCTACACTTGGAAAATCCTGGAAGGAATGGTCCCAAATCTGCACACACAAATCACTCCCTACGAAAGTAAAAGACTGGGCAGGCGAAGCAAAATGCCCCCAATTAAAAGTAGGGGTGCCATTGGTACACTAAGGGAAAACACCATAAGTGTCCGGGGCCCAAGACTGTTCAACAGCCTCCCATCAAGCATTAGGGGAATTGCCAATAAACCCCTGGCTGCCTTCAAGAGAGAGCTGGACAGATACCTAAAGTCAGTGCCGGATCAGCCGGGCTGTGGCTCGTACGTTGGACTGCGTGCGGCCAGCAGTAACAGCCTAGTTGATCAGACCCTGATCCATCGGGAGGCCTAGTCATGGACCGGGCCGCGGGGGCGTTGATCCCCGGAATAACCTCCAGGTAGGGAAAAATTATGGCATGTAGTGTATTAGTCATGAAAAAGAAAACCATACCACGGGCGGGGATAGAACCCGCCATCAGTCATAAAACAACAGACCTGCGAGCGGATTCTATCCCCGCCCGAGGTATGGTTTGTTTGCAATCGTGTCATTACGATTTCGTGAGTTCGTCATGAAATGGTAGTAATGATAGTGAGAACAGAGAAGCACTGCAGGAGAGCTAGTGTCTCATGGGCAGAGGCAGAAAACCCCTGCGAGACAAAAACCCCATGGGACAGAACCCACCAAGGCAGAAGACAAGAATGACAATGAAAATACAGGAAAGGTCAAGTTACGAGTGTTCTGAAGTTGAGAGCATTTGACAACGTAATGAGAAAGGCAGGCATCAACAGAGAGAAAGCCAGGACTAGGATTCATGTTAGGGATGCCTTAACAAGACAGCATCTGTGAAGGCTAGAATAGTAGACAGTTTTGGTAGAGGACCGGTATATTATGATGACTGTGATCTCAAACATGACAGAAGTGCACTATTAGTGTCAGCTAGGCAAACAATTCTTATGTGCTGCATAATTAGAGCTTTAAGAAAGAGAGCGGGCAGTTTCACCATAGTATTAGACGACAAGAACATAAATAGTAGATGCCGGAAGCATCAGTACTAGAAGTATACCTAGAGAGGGTTTCGGGGGTCAACGCCCCCGCGACCCGGCCTGTGACCAGGCCTCACGGTGGATCAGGGTCTGATCAACCAGGCTGTTACTGTATGGACTAAATTGTTACGAAGGGTGTTAATTTGCTGCTAAGGTTCAGGAAACGGGAATTGTAGGAAAGGCAAAGACCAGGAGATTTCTCAGAAAGGAGTTTTGGAAAGAAAGCCTGTTTAGTATATACTACTACCACCGCGCTTTCAAAGAGGGAGTAGATTACAATCTTGGCTTGTCAGTTAGCAGTTTGAGAACACTAATACGAAAAGAACTTCAGCTGAACTTTATTGACTTAAGACTCAGGGAGATTGACACCAGTCAGTCCATCTATCATCATTCTATCATGCAGGAAGAGCCACATGTCTATTGTG